CTCAGGGTGTGAACATGATCAAAAAGTAACGTTTTCAGGGAGAAGTACAAAGGTCGCAGGTCCCAGGAAGGCTCTAAAACGAGTCTTTCTTTCGGTGTGCCCTGTTCCATTTGCCTCTTGAACAACCCCCAAGCTCGCCATCTCCTCCTGGGCCTCTCAAGTCTAAAGTTAAGCTCTAATGGACAGAGGGAGGGCGCCTCCGGATTCCGAGGCTGCAGCTCATCCTTGGCCTTTGCCTGGAGGAGCCTCCCGTGGTGTGCACCGTCCTTCTGGGCAGGTTCACTCCGTAGAGAGAGCACGTTTGTTCCCATCAGGTTAGACTAAGATGCGGTTTCTGATTCTGATGGAGTAATAGCCCCCTTGCAAATGTGATGCAAGTCCTATTTTCTAGAAGAGTACACCTTACACCGCGGTGCTAAGCTTTTCAAAGCGCTTGACTTAGGAGTCATTTGACAACCAAATGATTACAATGGTGTTGATGGTGGTAACTATGAAGATACGTGACAAAGCCTGCACTTTTTCTTCCACTAGGCACGTCTTCTCAAAAACGCCTTGCTCTTTCAAGTTCCAAGACTGAATACTTTGCAGCTCTGAATAAATTCCTAGAGCGCCCGCCCTAAGCCTTCCTCGCTCAGCCACTCGAAGTCCGACCTGTCTGACCCACCCTGGGTCCCCGAGCCCTTGCTACGCGAGGCCGGGGGACTTGGAACTTGAAACGGCAGCACCCACCCCTCACCCTCACCCCTGCGGCACTCGGAGCAGGGTCAGTCTCCGAGGCGCGGGTACCTGGACTCGGGCCTCGGTGAGGTCGATCTTCAGGGCTAACTCCTCCCGAGTGTAGATGTCCGGGTAGTGCGTCTCAGCAAAGACCCTCTCCAGCTCTTTGAGCTGCGCACTGGTGAAAGTGGTGCGGATGCGCCGCTGCTTGCGTTTCTCGTTGAGGCCGCCGTGGTCAGTGAAGAGTTTGTAGGGAACTAGAGGGTGACAGAGGAGACAAGAGTGAGCGGGCTGCCGAGCAAGAATGTGGGGACCAAGGGTCCTGTAGCTCGGGAACCGCTGCCGACTCCGTCGTGAAGGGAGCTTAGTCGAAGGGACCTGCCGAGAAAATCCAGCAAATTAGTAATATACAGAAACACGGGTGCGGATTTCCGACTTTTCGGGATCCTTGTGGCCCAAGTGCCTTTGGGTGGATTGAAATAGGCACATTGGAGACCTCTTGAGGCCCGGAACTGGAGAGAGTGCTCTCGGCAGGAAAAGAGTCTAAAAACATCACTTGGAGTATCAGGAAGCCAAACACGAAGTTTCCACTCACTTGCACGGTTGCAACTTTTCAATTCTCAGAAGTTGACGACGCCCAAAAGTTGGGGGATAGTGCTGCAAAAAAATAATAAATTAAAGAAATGATCATAAAAATGACCGGCCAAAGAGGTGTGAGCCGCTGTCGGTTCCTAAAAAAAGAGACACTACCAGTAATGAGCTTTACTCTTTGTTATTTAATTATTTTCTAAGCTTTACGTCTCATCGCAAAGTAAATAAATTATGCCTATCATTTTGGCAGCTTAAGATAATTTTGTTGGCGGTTCGGGTGTGACTAGGATAGTGTAACCCTGTAAGTGAATTACCCCTCCCTGCAATCGCTTCTAACGTGATAAATTCTTTCATTTGTGTAAGCAAATTTCGTTTGGTAAATACTAAACACATTTCCATTTTCAAATGCAATCAAGGCTTTCCTATATACGAGCAGAAAGGCGGCTTCTTCGGCTGAGAGAGCTGGCGGTCCTTACCTGCGGCGTACGGACTGCTCTGGTGGTCCCTGAGGGTGCCAAGGCTGCAGGATCCCGGCGTGAGGGACGGGCAGCCGGACGTGGCCCCAAAAGTGGTCCTTATCGGGTTATACTGGAAGCCACTGGCCTGGCTGCAGGAACTGAAGTCAGCATAGGCTGATGCCAGGCTTGAAGTGTCCATCCCAGCCATACAGGACTCGTAGGCAGAGGAATTGAGGTAAGAATATTCCATTTTATACATTGAAAAGGTTCTGGATGGCTCAGCCAAGTGGAAAAATGAAATAAAAGATGGATGTGGAGAAGGTGGCTGGAGTGGGGAGATGTGCTCAGCTCAACGCCTGCCTCCAAACTGGCCTCCTTACTACCAGCAGAGCCTAGTTTTATGAAAAAGCCTCCTATGAGATGCCTTGTCTGAGGTCTCTAGAGCATATAGCCCTCATAATAAACTTGGCTCTTTCCACTTGGACAATAGCAAAGCGGTTGGTCTTATTGCTGGCGCTTTTTACATGACAATAACTCATCCGTCTATTGGGCTGGCACTGGGGAACTGAGCTGTCCAACCTCCCTATCATTGATTCCTGCATCTCTAATTAGAATTTAATACCACGCCATTACGCACTGAGCCCCTGATCCTCCCTTCTAACCAGCTCCCTGCCCTTTAATTCAATCACACTACTTGGAAATAATGAAAGTTGGGTGACGATTCTCCCTGATCCAATTTCCCCGAGCTTTTAAGCCTTTTTAACTGATCATATACCTTAGGCATAAATTGAGATAGTGTGTGTTTCCCCCTTCTTCGTCTTTTTTTTTTTTTTTTTCTCTTGGTTAGGGAGAAGAAACCTTGATGTCATAGAAAACCTGTTTTGTAAGAGTGTTACACGCTCAATTTAACAACAAGCCTACCCCCCGAAGTGCATGAAATGCTATAAAGGACTGGGACATTGGCAAGACTCAGGCATCCTTTAACACAGAGTAAGCGGACCAGGGAGGTTTATGCGAATGATAAGCAGATCTCTTTAAAATACACCTTATTGAAGGGGATGAAAAAACAGTTTCTTATCAATTGAATTTCTTCTCGAAGCTTAATGTATTTTCCAGAGACTAAGGTAGATAGCCACTTTAAAGAAATAAACAACCCAATAAAGCTCTTGAATGTAAAACATCTGGATTCTCCACTGACAGTTTCTTCGCCCTCCACTGCATCTGTCAGCATTGGTGGAGATTTGCATTGCTGGGGTGGGCTTGGAGCTTCCATGCGGTTCTTATTTCCTGGTTTTAATTACTCTGTACCTACCAAGCCCAAAAGGAAACGTACCCAAAGGGGTCTCCTCTTCCACCCTTCTCTCTCTCTCTCTCTCTCACCTTTTCACCATTTTTTCACAATTTCCAGACTTGGGGCTTCCCACAGAGGATTGCTGTCTGTTTGCCCTGTAGGTTTTACTACTTCACTAGCACAGCCCTTGCTACTTAAACAAACAAGGCAACAGGGAGGCTGGGCACCTTCCTTGTCAGATTCCTTGGGCTCTTGGGTACTGGCAAGGATGTGCAGACAAAGAAGCTAGGCATGATTTGTGGACCTCGGTGGCCCCATGATTTAAGCAGAGGGTAATTTTCATTTGGTTCGTTAGACTCTAGTAGAATAAGGGAAAATATTTCATTAAATCCTTCCTCTCGGTGGACAAGAGGGGGGAATGCTTAGTTGAATCGCCGTGTGGTGTAAACAAACCCTGGATATTTTATATGAATTAAATGTGTAGATAATTAGTTTTATTGCATTCATTACCCCCTTTATGTGCTCTGTAACAAGTCAGTAATTAAAGTAACAAACTCATAAAGTCTTTATAGGGGCATTTAGGCGTTCAGTGTTTGCCAAACTAAGTGGTTTAATTCGATGCTAGTGCCGGGGAGTGGATGGGCGCCCGCTCTCCACTGCCACCCTGTTTTATTGCGCACTAAACCGCTGCAGACGCCTTAATGGATTAAGCAAGGACAGCGGGCCCCCAGCCCTGTCTTTCTCGCCAGGGTGAGTTTCAGCGGTGTCTCGGGTGTTTGCGCATCCTCCGTATGCCAGAAGTCGAAGTTCCCGCAGTGGGATCCACGGAAGAACCTGGTGATAGTTTTATGAGCAAAGCTGATAGTTTTACTGCAGTTGTATGTTGTACAATGCGTATTTGATAAAGAAGGGCCCTTGGTGACCAATGTGCACGTTTTTGTGCACGGGGGCAAAATGAAAATAAATGCGAACAAGGTTTTACTGCGGCGGGAAACAAATTGCAACACTCTAAATGGTTTTTCTTTATGGTCACCAGACAAGAGGAGAAAAGGGACGCAAACATCTGTCTTCAGTCCCCTGAACCTAAAGGCCAGCAAAGACGGATGCGAATCCAAGGGTTATTACAGCGTGGATTTGTCTTTATTTATCGCTCTCATGAATATGAATCTGCATTTGGACCGGGAGGCGCCTGTACCCCACCCCCGGAATCCACATAGAATTTCCCTCACTCTTATTCTCCCACCCCTATCCTCTTAAGGGAGGTGGGGGATAGGTTGTCAAGAACAAAGCTGCAATTGTCCAAGTTCCTCTGCTCCCTAGGATTTAGGGGTGGAGGAGAAAAAGGAATTGTGCATCCTGGTTTTTCTGAACCAGACCTTGTAGGTTAGACCTGCACTCTGGGGATGAGGTACATAGACTAGGTTAACACCTGCTAGCCTGTTCCTCCGAAAGGGGGGTGAGCTGAGCTTCAAGCGCATTTCTCTGCGCGACAGATGCTTACAGAGTCTGGGAGAAAAGGGTTTAGGTTCCCAGGCCCAGGCAATTCACAGTGTGCCAGGCGCTCTCTTGGTACACCTGGGGTGTTGTGTGTCGTCCCCCACCCCGCCCGGTGCAGAGCGTGTGTTCACCAGAAGCTCCATCCGGTTCAGCTGCTTTGAACCGAGGGTCAGAGCCCTACACCCGATCTGAGCGTCAGACCATTCCAAGCTGTGTCCTCTGCAGCCTCTGGCGACCCTTAAGAAAACGCGAAGGAAGAAGGCGCATTCACGGCAACAGTTTTGGGTGATTTGGGGGTAAAGTGCGGAACTTTCAAGTTTTACGGTGCGAGGGGAAGTTCTGCGAAAGGGAGGGAGAGGAATCTGATGTGTAGTTCAGGGGAACTGTGTTGATTAGGCAGGCGCAACAAGGAGCCAGAGTTAGGAACCCTGGCGAGGGGTTGAGGGATGCCCTCGGAGGAGAGACGGCCCAGCCGAAGCCAGTGCAGGGCGCCAGCCCAGGGCTTGGCCCTCCCTGCCCTGCAGTCTGGCTCCGAGACCGCTTCTGGCTTCCAGCCGCCTCCACCCAGTCGCGCCAGCCATCTCCAAGTTGCCGGGCCTCTCCTGGGGACCGTCCGAGACCTCTCTCCAGACGCCCCCTGGTGCCCAGCTCACCCCGCCCGGGTGCTGGGCGTCTCCTCCTTTCTGTAAAAGCTAACCGCTCAGGGCTGGAATCGCACGGTCGGATGAGCAAATGCTCTTGACTTCATCTTTCCCTTTGTAGGCCTTGTAGGTTTATTTTGTTCGGTGACACTGTCCCTCCCCCCTAGCCCAGGCCGGTCGTTGTTCTGTCCGTCTTTTGTGGCCCAGGGTCCTGCTTCTGCTCAGAGATGAAAGGCGTGTGGGGCTGGGCCAGGCTGGAGCCTCAGCCCCAACGCCCTGTTTTGTTCCAGTTGTGCTTTCTACACGCGAGCTCGCCCCTAAAAGTTGTACCAAATGGTTAATTTAATTATTCCAACTATGGACCAACTGCTTCAGCAGCCTCCACCACGCGTCTGGGAGGAAAAAAGAAACCATCTATAAGAAATAATCTAATAAAAGTGAAGTGTAGAAAAACCCCTCCTGATTTTCAACCGGCACAAATAGAATTAGAGGTTCAGCATCCTTTCCCCAAACAGACCTTTTGTCCAGATCACAACTCCAGCCAACCAGCAGTGTGTACAGTGCCTGCTATTTGTTTTAATAGAGGCGGGTGGGAAGCGAGATGGATTGATAGATAAATGGCCACATGGAGAGATGGATGGTTTGATCCATCTTCCTCTGACTCCCCTGTCTTAATATGTGTACAAGGTTGACTTTTTTTCCCCTGCCGATTTTCTAAATCAATAATGGAAAGGCGATCCTATGTGGTAAAAGGGGGGAAAGGCTATTTAAAGCACAAGAAAGGGAAGAGATTACCAGCGCATATAAGAAAAAAATGTTTACATGCTAACAAATGAAAAAGGTTGAAAGTTTAAAAGAAACCTTTCTTCCCCTTTCTTTGCCATTCATAGGAGGGTTTCTTTTTCTTCTTTTTTTTCCTTGAAAGTCAGAAAGAATGTTAGAAGACAAGGAAACAAAAACAGCAAACAAAATGCCATTGTATTGTAGTAGCGATTCATGGGAAAATGCTTGTCAGCCCTCTCATGCCTCACTCCTAGGAGGCTGTTTTGAGACTGTTTTTACCGTAGGCAAGGCACAATAACATGAGCTTGAATAAAATATTACCAGTGAGAGTTTCAGAGGAATTTTCTTTTCGATTGTTTTATTTAGTGTTGCATCTGAATTGCCCCAGTGCTCAGTTAACCAACTGCCCTGTGGAAGATACAACTCCGAACCAGAGCCAGCATTCTCCCAGCCAGAGAACTAAAGGGCGATGTTTGTCCTTAACTCTCTCTAAATATTGCTTCAAGCAGCAAGTAAATAGAATTAGAGGTTTCTCACTCACCTGCACTAAGAAAATAATCTACACAGAATTTATTGGAACACCATTTTCCAAAACAGAAACATACCAGCCAGAGCACCTTCCAACCTGATGGTCCACCCCACCAAGAATTTTTGCCACATATTCCTTTCTCATAGTAACCAAAATTCACATGTTTCATAAAGGAACTTTTTCAGGTTTTGGTAACTAACCTCCTGGCACTGTGAAACTAACAATTACTGCCTTCTTGGCAATAGAATACTGCAAAGTAACATAGTGCTTGTGCCTGAGAAGATTCCAGTGACTGCTAGTCACCAGTGTTGGGATGTTGATAGTGATGGCGATGATACTGGCAGAGTCTTCTAGAATTGTGGACTGAGCACTGGCTTTGGAATTTAGATGGGGCTTAGATATGCATCTTTCCCATTGCATGCTTATAACGTATGTAGAAGGTGGTAACAAATAAGGGAGCAGGCTCTAGGGTATCAATGGGAGAAAAGTAAGCAATCAGGCAGAAACATTCCACACTTTAGGAATTTACTAGAACCATATATATTAGATAAGTTAATTATATGTTTCACCTTACATTATGATGGTATTTATACATGGTTAATATGATGCTTTATTCCTTATGTAGGTATTAAGTGTTAGAGGCGATGTCACGATAAAAGTCATTTATCCCTGGTTAGTTGGGTGGGCTTCGGTTGGAACTTTATGGACAACTTCTAGATGGTGTTTGTATGTCTGGATTAGCTTTGAAGTAACTCAAATGTAAGTGCAATACTTTATATTTGTGATGGGTTGCTGATCCCCATATCTGTTCTTTAAGGACCTCCCCATGGGAAGTCTGGTTCCCCTCCTTTCCCTCATGTCCCCCATACAAAGCCATAATTAGCAGAAGGGACTGCCTGTTACCTTTTGCTGGATTTTGGCTAATAGTAGTAACATCTGCTGGGCTGTTGGTTGGGGAGACACAGGGCATTTGATCAGAGTCACAGATGTAAAAGTGACATCTGCTTGTAACAAAGAAAGGAGAAACAAAATTAAATTAGGCAGGGAGCCTTTTCTGTCTAAACTGAAAAAAAGAAAAAAAACTGTTTGAAAAAGGACGGGGGTAGGGGAATCCTGAACTAACCATACTTGCAGAGTGCTAGTGGACAGGATCAAAATTTCCTGGGCCTGCAGCTGCCAGAAGAACCCAAGTTTTAATGTCCCAGATGGAGACAGCAGTGTTCTAAGACCCTGAAGGTATCTTCTCATGTGCCAAAGAAAACGATCAGACAGGTTTATTCTCAATCAAGCAATACCCCAACCTGTGTGAATACAGTTTGAGCTGAGCAACTATCTTCAGATTGAAGATAGGAGTTGGGTCAGGCCAAAGATTCTTGGGTCAGTAATGTCCCAGAATGTTTCTGGTGAGTTTGGGCAGAAATGGTGTTTTATTCAACAGCTGTATTAAAACTACTGTCTGGGCTGGAGAGATGGCTCAGCAGTTAAGAGCACTGGCTGCTCTTCCAGAAGACCCGGTTTCTATTCCCAGCACTCACATGGTAGCTAACAATCACCTGAAATTCCAGTTTCAAGAAATCTAATGCTATCTTCTGGCCTACTCAGGCACCACACACATGTGGTGCACTCACATACATGCATGTAAAACACTCATTTATATAAAATATAAATAAGCTCTGACTGCCAATTGCCGTATCTTCACTGAACTTGTTTGCCTAGAAGGTTGTGTTTGGCAGTTAAAATTGTCTACATGATACCTGAAGTAGGACTCACCTAGGAAGGGCATTCAGAGACAGTGGCTGGAACTTACTATGTAGACCAGGATGACCTTGATCTCACAGAGATCCATCTGCCTCTGCCTCCCAAGTGCTGGAATTAAAGGCATATGCCACCATTCCTGGAACATTCTGATAATTATATATAAATTAAGTTCCTAACAATAACAGAATCCATTGCACAGGATTTTCCTGCTTCTCTTCTTTTTGCAACAGATGGAGACTATTACAGAGTTCTACAACTAGCCACACACAGAGAATAAATGCCTGAGAGATGTCCATCCCTAAGTGACAATGGAATCTCTACAACCAGTGCTCATGGAACATAGTGGAGCATGGAGTAAAGAGAATAGCAATACATCTCTCAGCTCTCAATAGTGAAACTTCCTGACACAACAGAGGGCAATGAACACAGAAGACCACAACTGGCCGAAGTGTAGAGAATAAGAGATGGCAGAGTGTGTGTCCCTGGACAGGACTCCTATATTAAACCTCACCCACCCAGGTCTCAGGGACCATTGTGGAAGAGGGTAGAAAGTTTGCAAGAACCAGGGGTGGTACATGACCATAAGGAAACAGAGTCTCCCAGACTTCTTGGTACTCGTTTAAATGCACTTACAAGAATAATGGCATCATGCACAAGAGCCATGAAAACTCAACCAGACAAAAGCCCAGCATAGAACTGGGAAAATGGGCAGGCAGCTCCAACCTTAGCTGAGGAACTTTTGGCAGCTGATCACTGCAGGGTGAGGGAGAGTTGGTCTTCTTTAAGGGAGTGATACTAGATAGTCTGACACTGTTCCAGTGAATGAACTCACACCAAGGGACACCTGGGTATACAACTTGACTTTATAGGCCTTAACATATATGAAAGAATACATGAAATCCATTGGGGGGGTTGCTGTGGAGGGGTGCACATGGAAAGGGGGTCTAATTATGATTAAGATGTATGAAATGCACAAAAACTTAGTAAAAATATACATTAAAAACCCTTGCTTCTCAGTCTATAAACCAACCCATGTCTCATTCTTCCATTGCTCTTGCTGCTCAGAGGAGGAAGTTGTATCTAATCTCAAGCTTGCCTCTTCTCTGTGCTTTGGAGTCCGGTCCCTTCCACTGGCCTAGGGAGCCACCCAACTCTTCATCATTCTTGGGGCTTCAAACTCTTGTGCCTCTGGATGTTACTAAATAAGTTCAATTCAGACCCATATTAACAATTAGGCCCACTGCCTTCCTTGGCCACACCCAGTGGTGCTATTATTTTTCTCCCTATTACAGTCAAGCATCTTGAAGATGCCTTTTTTTCACTATATTTCTTAACTTCTCAATCATGCCATAGTTCCCTCCCATATGACTTTCATACCCCCATGCATTTAGACATTTCTTATTATAGTTATCAACTCTATTGAGGCTTTTCTAAGCTTAGACTTACTGAAGGCATGTTATCACGTAGGCTGTTTTTCAAATATTTATGTTTTTGCACACTTCTGGGCACCTAGTAGGATTCTTCTTTCCTTCCTTCTACAAGTAAGATACAGCTGTGTGCCTTGTTTTGGCAACGCCAATTAGATGTAAGTATAAGTGTGACTTCAAGGAAGTCAGAGGAAGCATCCAAGTCACCTCCTATCTCTTCTGCTCTTTTCTCACTGCAGTGGCGGTCACTTTGTCAGCCTTAGTTCTAGAGTGAGGCTGCCATGGAGAAGAGATTCCTGTAGACCCACAGGAAATATATAACTCCTTCGAGTGTCAGAGAATGTTCTGGAAGAGATGACCTGTATGATAACTGGGTACTACCAGCTGAGTAGGAATGAGTAAATAAAATGGTGATGAATTGGGAAAAAGATTCCAGGCACAAGAATCTGTGGTAGTCAAAGATTCCAAAAGCAAAGAGAACATGGAGCATTTGGGAATCTACACAAAGTTCAGTTTCATTTTCATTAGAACAGAAAACACATGTGGT